ACCATAACTGAGGAAACTCCTCTGGACATACAAGGGCACCTAGACCTCTCCTGTGGCATCTGGGGACCAATGGGTGGGTGAGCAGCCAGCCAGTTGCCATTGCTCAGTCCCACCACTTTTGCTGGTGGGCCCTCACTTGAAAATTATGCCCCCGTCAAAGGTCCCAGGTTAGCTCTAACACTTCTAGGTGGTGAAATACAGCCTCATCTCTCTAACCACCTGGGTGATGCATGACATGATGCCCATGCTGACCCTGGGAGAACAGCCTGAGTGCCCCAAAAGCCAGCAAACATGGAGCAACCTTCCCCTTCCATGTCGAGAGCATGACATCAGCCCACAACTTGTAAAGGGGTGGAAAGCTGCGTGCCGGACAGCAGGCTGCCCTCGTAAAATGGGACTAGTTCAGTGACTAGCTGCCCTGGAGTCCCTGGGCCAGTCCCTACCAGCTTCAATAGCAACCCTGCTAGCTATTATCTTAGAAGGACGCTCGTTATAGAAAATCACGTCCCTCTGCCAAGTTCTCGTGTCTCACTATTTTTGGAACAACAGGGGCAGGCTCTGTGCCTCAGCAACTGTCAGCAGAGTCACATAGAAAGCAAATCCATATAATGATCAGGCTAGCAGGGACAGCGCTGGAAACAGCATCGCCTGGGGGGCAGTCCCCTGGAAGCACCCTTTGGTCTCATGAGAAAAGCGATAAGGGCAATAAACATAAAACCCAGAAGCTATTTGACACTATTTGTATGGGAAGCTGATCTCCCCCAGCCCTTTTCATTCTCACGCATACAAGTAGAGACAAAAGGATTGAAAAGCAAGCCACCTGTGCAGGAAGGATGGCTCCTAAACCCCAAAGAAGATAGGACCTACATACTGCAAACTCATTTTAATTAAAACATTCCAGGATCCACATTCCCCAGGATTAAATTACTGACTTAGCTACTTGTACACATAGCCTCTTTCACCCGTTCTGGGACAGTATTGTTGAGGTGTTGGATGACACCAGTGTCAGGTAAATGGAAACAAACATTTTTCAGTGCTTGTGACCCCTAACGCAGGATCCATGATTAGCCACAGGTCAACCCCAGCACCTGTCAGCAACTCACAGATTACTGCAGTGGGAGCATAATCCCCTCTGACACTAACAGGTGATTCTAAGGCCCTAGAAAAACCAGAGGTAAATGGCTTAGGCAAGGTGGAAAGTTCCCAAAGCAATGGTTTTGATTTTAAAAAAAATAAAATAAAAAAACCAGATGTGGTGAGCAAGGAAGACCTCACAGATGTAGCTGGAGCAGGACTTAAACTGCCTCCCCTGCAAGAGACCAGCAGGACTCTTAAAGGAATCTGGAGGTGCAAGTCCAAAACTGCCCAGCCCACTGCTGGGCACACACAGGGCCATGTCCAGATTCTGCCAGCCTGCTGTGCTGCCAATACTTCCTCTTTAGGCTCTGAAAACTGTGACCCATACCAGGCAGAGACAACCCTTGCAGCTCCTACCACCTAGTGGCTGCAGTATTTCTCTGTGACAGAGCAAGGAGGCTGTGTGGAGGCCAGGCAGCCTCAGCCTGCCCTGGGCAAATAAAGCAGTCCTTGCTAGCGGGTATCACTTATGCCACAGCTGAGACTAAAGTAGGACCACACTGAGCACAGAGGCAGCACAGGAGAACAGAAAACCTTCGTTAAAACCATCAGTGGCTGGTGTAAGCACAGAAAAAAACCCCTCAGCTAGCTCTAAAACAAGCGAGCAAAAGCAGCAGCAATATAGATTTGCCCGGGTAATGCATTGCTGTTTCTGGTACTTCTGCCAGCTCAGCTAACGCTAGATTACTGGCACTACACAATATCGCACTGTGCAGCACAGCCATGCCCCAGGCTGTTTAATTTACCCCTAGGCTGCTAAGTCAGGCGAAGAGTTTGCTGGTTTGGGTGGAATATCGTACAAGAGTCCGAATTCAAATGGCTCTAGATCCAGCCAAACCCTCAAACCCTTTGAGCGCTCTGTCCTCAAACTGCTGCAGCATTTCAGGCGCTTCCAAGTTCCTTCCTTTCCAATTTCCATAATTTCCTCTCGAACTGGGAAGGTGGGGACATAATTGGACACCTATTCCAGGTGGAGCATCACCAGTGCCAAACAGAAGGGATAATGACTTCCCCTGAGCTCCTGAAGCAGCCCAGTAAGTAATTTAACTTATGTGCAGTAACACCACACTGCTGGTTCACACTGAACTTTGCACCTACCATAACACCTAGTAACATTCCAGCTGGGCTACCACCGTGCCAGTTAGTGTCATTGGATTAGGCTCTGATTTTGCTTTGACAAATGGTAAGAAGCCTCAAAATGGCTAGTTCTTGAAAAATTCCTAAAGGCAGGGCCAGTAAATCATTATTTATTTGTGATCTCCACAGCAGACTGGAGTCATGCTTTGTTCCTTATGACATGAACTGTTAATGCCACATTTTCAGAGTCTGGGCTGTAAGTATGATACATGTGATGTGCTTTCCACGTAATTGCAAGTGAAACTAGGTATTGTTTTGGTAACCCTGCCCCCAACTCCCAAACATAAGTAACATTTTTAAATACGGAAATATGTCTGCAGGCCAACATTTTGAAGAAGTGGTTACTCTTACTTTTTTTATATATATACTTATATTTTTTTCTTTTCTGCTACATTTGTGTTAACGGAGGGGGTAACCCAATGCCATGCAAGAAACGAGCAGAAACCTTAAGTACTATATCAGCCTGCTTAAGCCCTCCTAGAAGAGCTTTGTCCGACGAATACCCTGCTGTTGCAATCATTTCTCTACTACAGCAAAGGGATTTAATTATGCTTTTATAAGCAATTTAAATCTGGTTCTTCTGGATTGAAGTGGGTGTCACTGAGTGCAAAACATGGGAAAAAGACCCAATGAACCACATTAGTCTGAAATCTACTTTTTCTTTTATAAACGCTTCCCTTTTTGGTTTTGTTTATTATAGGAGGGAAGTGGTTTTCTGTTACTGACAATCCAGACAATGAAGCAAAGTGGGATTCAAGTAAAAGAGGAACCTGGGAAAGACTGGAAATAGCAGTGTCCTGCTATGACAAGTACCACTCCCTTGGCACCCTTTCAGAGACTGACCAGCTCTGTGTTCAGGGCAGAAAGGGCTGAGGGGTTCTTCCCTCTGATGACAAGCTGGTCCAGAAATTCCTGTTCCAGGCTGCTCTACTGTTTAGCAACCTCCTTTTCATTTCCAGTCTAACTGTATCCATGGCCAGTCTAGACTCATTTAATCTTAGCCAGCATCTTGACAGCTTTGTTTCCCTCCTCAGTGTTCGACATCTGCAGACATCAATCAGATCCTCTTTTTGCATTCAATTTGCTAGTCTAAACAGGCTGAGATCTTCCCTTTTTTTCCCCTTTGCAAAAGGCTCCCCAATTACTTCATCAGCCCAGAAAACCTTGTCTGCACCCATAGCAGATTGCATTCATTTTTTGAACATGATGAATGGTACTAGCACAGTGACCTGAAATCTTCCTAAGTTCATGGGAAATACTATACACAGCCCAGGAGCACACTTGCTATTTTCACATCTACATTGCAGTTCAGTAAGCAAAGCCATAGCAAAGAGCACAGCAACGAGTGGCAAAACCCACTGCTATCCCACACCTGACCTCAAACAGCACACATCAATACCGAACATTTCTGATATTTTCCATGAGAACTTCAGAAAAGCCATTAAAATTTGGGCCCTGTGTCTTCATATTATGAAATAAAAGAGGAGTTTCCTTGGTTACTAGTGACAACATCGAGCTTTAAGTTTTGTTTCTGCTACACAGCACAGCTGCTCTGTGAACCACGTAAGCTGTGTATTAAAAAAAAAAAAAAAAACAACAACCAAAACCCAACAAACCACCTCATTTCTGTTACGTGAGTCTACCCAAGGGCTCCACCCTAAACAAGCCCAATTCTTACACTCCATAACTGGCTGTTGCATCACCCCAGTAAGAAGAGAAAAGGGTGGGTGGCAGGATGCATTTGTCTGCCCCTTTTTTTCTTTAAATATTTTGGGTGTATGTAGGAGGTGTGAAGCCACAATTAAACGAATAAGTTTCTCCTGCCTCTTCTAAGAGAAAAAACAAGCTCTATTATCATTTTAGCAATGGACAAAAAACAACTAAAAAAGGACCCCAGGCAGTTTGGAAGAGCTACACTGCAGAAAATGCTTTTGTCCTAGTAACAACTTAGCTCAGGGACTCCCAAACTTACCTTGCTGGGACACAGCTGTGGTCACTGCCTCCATCACAGCCACTCCTCCCTCCACCACCCACATCAGCAACAAGCTCCCACCCACACGTACACACCAGAGGAAGCTCTAAGCCGGACAGGCAGCGCATGCGCAGTCCTCCGCTGAGATATACATACCACTAGTGACATCAATGCTATCATTTGCCTCATCTAAACAAGAAGAAATACCATTTATGGCTCTGATTCAGTGTCCACCCATGTAAGCAAGATCCTTTCCAGGAACTCCGGATGGATCTTTCATTCATTTCTGAGCAGTACACAAAGGCTGGTAGATAAAGGAGGCGACCCCTGCTTCCAAGGACAATTCATTGAGTTTGCAGATAATTCAATGCAAACACAGTACCGTTAAAATTCAGGTATCAGGACAGTAGGGCCTGAGATCCTACAGCAACTAAAGCACACTGCAGGTCTGTAGACATCTGTGCATATACATTTGGAAACATACAATGGCACAGGGGTGTTTCTAGGGAAGACACAAAGAAAGGCCTCCCTGTTAACACCATTTTGTTAGGGAGGCTAGAACAAGCAAGGATTTTGTTTGCCAAATGCCCCACAGATGTTAGAGGTGGAATATAGCAAGAGTGTTCTGTTCACCCTTCAGCAGAGAGGTTTCTCCTGGGTCTAAAGTGGACATTTATAACAGGCTGAGGAGTGCCTCTGTCCTGAACATGTCAATGTCAGGAGGAGGGCTATGCACTGCCCTGGCTATACTCACAGGAGTCTGGAAGCAACAGTAGAGCTTGGTGAGGAACGGGTGGTTCCTTGCTAAGGAAAGGATGCGTTTCTCGGTCATGGTGCATTCAACATCGTCATCTTGGAGAATGACGTCCTTCTTCAACACCTTCACTGCATAGAGCTGCCCACTCTCCTTCATCTTGGCAAGCATCACCTAAACCAAAGGAGAGGGTGAATCTCAGGGGCTAAGCCCTCAGTGTCTATGAACAACACAAAACCTCTCACACCTTTTCACACTAGAAAGGTCAGTTACCTCATGACCAGGCTTGTGGATGCAAGTGACTCAGCCTGTTAGTATGAGCATCAGTGTACAACTGATGACACATATGCTGCTGTCTGCAGCAAGCTTCTCCGGATAGAAATGCCCACACACATTGCTCCAACGTCTGGCGTGGAGCTAGGTGGTCGAAACTCATCCACTGTGCCAGGGAAAACCCCCCGAGTAGTGCCATCTATCCCACTTCCCTTCTCAGTTATCAAATTCAAACGCACCATTTCATGTTGGCTTTATGGCAAAGCAGAGAAACTAAACACTCATCTCACTACATTTGAAACCAACTGCTTTGTTTCCTTTAAAGGAAAAGTCTTTACATGCTCCAAGAAATGCTGCTCAAACGAGTGCTAACACACACACTTGCAATTTCTGGTATAGGCCCTGGCATGCAGCTGTTCTTTTGGTTGCTAACATTTTCCTTTGTGATATCCAATTCTTCACTTTGCTGTCAGCTTGCTTTCCCTTCCCTTCTCTCTCTGCTCTCTGTAACCAACCTTGTCGCACAAACCATACTCTTCTGGACAGCCTGTGTGCCGCGTTATGAAATAGCTTCATCTACCTTAGAGTTTCTTAAATAAGGAATGTGGTTTTACCCAACAGAGCCACGATTAACTCTCACCTTTCCAAAGCTGCCCTTTCCCAATACACGAAGGAATGTTAAATCTTTGATCCCAAGTTTGCTCGCTGAACTTTCACTAATGTTGTTGCCATCTTTCAGGCTGCCTTTTCCCTGATGTCTCAAAGTAGATCTTGAAACCAGTTTCTGTGGAGGAAAGTAAATAAGTATCAGTCTGCATAGAAATTGTACTTTTGCCTCAGAGGTGTACACAAGTAGCCAACCTACCAACATGGGCATTTAGGACCTGTTCAGATGCACTGTACGGCCACTGGAACAGAAAGCACCTTGGTACCCACAACCCCACATAGCCGTTACATGTGACTGGCCAACCTCAGCACTACACTGAGCTGTGCTGAGATGTCAACACTGGTTCCCGACCTGGGCATTTTAAGTTGTAAACCCACTGCCCAGCAGATTGAAGAGGCAAGCCTGCCTCTCTCCATTCTCACTCCCCAGAAAAATAAGACAATAAGTGTGAAAATCCAAGTCTCCTATCCAACATCAGGGCAAGGACGCATAATTTCTGCAATATGCAAAGTGCTGATGAGATCTAGAACCCAACCTCATTTCCTCTAAATGTCTTAGGTTTTTATCTGATTTAAGACTCTTACTCAAAGCCCAGTTCAGTGGGACCCAAACTTCAAAATATATTTCTTTCCCACAGCTGGGTTACTGGCTTCCTCCACTGCTGTAAATTCGATGGAAGGCTGTTCACTCCCATGCCAGCAGTGAGGCATCTGCATTTTCAGGAATTGTACCACTATCAGCACATATTTCTAGAGCTTCTGTTTTTGCAGTATACGAAGATAAAGTCAACCTCCAGTGCCCTCTGTTCACAGGTCTCTAGTATGCATATAAACCAGGAGCACTTTTATTCAGTTTATTAGCCCAAACAAAGTCACATGGACTTCTTGAGCTCCACCTTGTGACTACTTTGGTGTAACGCAAAATTCTTCCTGCACAGACGACTTGTCTCACTACCACAGAAGTGGCAACCCCAGCCACTGGGAAAGAACCAAGAGCATTCAGGACAGCATCCAGCAAAACTCCCAACAGATTTAAGCTTACAGCACAGGCTGAACACTCACCTAGAGCCTTCAGCTCACAAGTAACGAGAAGAGATCCTTAAACACCAAGCACAGATCTTTCATTTTCCTGGCTTCATCTCCTTTTGATGTGCAGATTATGCAAACAACAAATGCTAACAAGTGCTGATTTTTACAGACCTGAAAAGGGAGTGTGGGACTTGTGTTTCCCTGTTACTCCCAGGATACCTGCCCCCCCCGAATGGCGAGAGCATGAAGAGCAAAGATAAGAAAGTCTCATTTGCTACAAACCACCTGAAATCAAAAGGGGCAGCACAGCCCAAATGAGCAGGCTAGGCTGATACAGTATGAGGTAGTCAACCAATGTAGCTGACTAACTGTATGACAAGATTTACCAGGTCTGGCAAGTATGTTTTGAGGGTTTAATATGTTCTTTTTGGTCAAATAATAATAAATAGACCAACATTTTATTATGACTTATTAACGTTTCAAGCAAACTCACTTTTCAAAACTGGTAGCAAAGGAGACATGACAAAAACTTGTTATCAAATGACAGCTCCGATTTCCATTACCCTTTATGGGCATTTTCACTCAAGCACTTACAGTGTGTTTTAAACTCTCTGAATAGACTCAGATATACAACAGCTGGATTTTTAGGATGCCTTAAATACCGACAAGCAGAAATTGTAGACTTATGTCCCAACCCTGGCAACAATCTCACTGGGACCCTGTCTTGGACAGCAAAGACCAGAGGTAATGTTATGTTGACAGGGATTTTAGCCAGGGAAACTGTAGTGGAGAATGAAATGGTTTCCCCAAAAATCACTCAGAAAAGCAGTGACAAAGCTGGGAAGAGAACCTAGGCTTCTTGCTGAGCTCTCCTTTTGCTCTATCACAAGCCACATATGCAGACAGAGCATTTGCTCTTGCAGTAAAAGTAAAAAAGGTATGGCATGAATTATATTGATCTCTAATTAGTTAGGAGTCTTATTCTCCTCTCATTCATGCCAAACAGATAAAAGAGTGAGTGGAGTCACACCACTGTGAAACATAAGCATACAACAAAGCAACATCTATAGATGAAAATATCCAGGTTTACCATGGTGGAGACAAGACATCCATTTTCCAGGTGAAGTCTTTGCCACAAGCCACAGAGAGTAACAACCTACTCATGCAGTCCACTTCCCGACACCATCTGTCATAACCCAAGTCTCTGACTATAAGGACTATAAAGACTCAGTTGTAAATGTTTTAAATGGCCAGGGGCGGGGGGGAAGAAGAAAGAAAGAGAGAGACTCACCGAATTTGGGGAAATGCTTCCTGGTTGCAGACCCATGCATGCCAAGGTTTTAGCAAGCTCTGCTGAGTTCACCCCACAGTTTGGTGCAACATTTGCTTGGCATCGGATGTGGACATTCATTTTACAGACTGACAGGGGTGATGGTAGGCATGGAAAGTAAAAGCAAAGGAAAAATTAAAATAACTTGGAGGAGTTTATTGCTGAGAAATAATTCAGCAATTCTGCTTCAGGAAATATACCCATCTGGACCTACTCGGTGTCTTTAAATTAAAGGGATTTTTGCCACCGATCTCAGCAAAAACAAAACTAGGACTCTCATAAGAGAATAAACTTCTGAAAATCAGCAGTGTACTCCAAACTCTCCAAGGAGGATGTCACATTGCCTGAAGGTACTCACAAGTACATGCTTGTCAGGTATATAAATACCATTGCAGCTATGCCTGCAGGTAAAACCAGGATTTATAATGCCACAGAATTTGCAACAAACTTCCCCTGCATTTCCAGATATCTAGTTGTAAGGATGGGAAACTAAAGTCTTTCTTGCTCTCACTCATGGACACACATACACCCTCTTGTGGGAGATGAAGGCAAATGGAAACTGTTACCCATACAATTTTACGGTCTGGATCACTGAAACAAAAACATAATACCAGGACATGCTTTGCTGTCAATTAGCAGTGTGACAAACAAGGTAGTCAACCTAAAGCAACGACCTTTTTTTCCCCTCAGATGCCTTTTCACTGCCTTATCTCATTAACTGAGGAAAACCCTTCAAGGCAAAGGGAAAAATGAATGCAGGAAGCAGCGATACCCAAGAATATTTTCAATAATGCCAGTTAAACAAAGCTGTGCTGAGAGTGCAAAGTAGAGTCCTTCTGGAAGCCTGAGATTAAAAAGTAGATCAGTGTTTTTGTTAACTCGTACAAAGATGAATATTCATCGTTTGGCTTTCTCTTGAAGGTTGCACAAATCAAGCCCACACAGTGCATCAAGAGACTAAAAATACATATATTTTGTGAAAAGGCAAGAGTAAGAAGCTGCTCACTTTTACACTGTAGGCCCTGTCGCATGATTCCCCAGAGCAAGGAACCACAGTGATCACAGAAAGTCGGGACTTTGTAGTTGTGGACGCTGAACTTATGAGGAATGTTGATTCCAAACCTCTGTTCAGTCACCTGAGGAGGCAAAAGAAAAGCACAGATTTAAAATTCAAATACATATATATATATGCTGATGTTTACTTACATACTGGCATTTATGCGCAAAACTATGAAAATGTCCCAATCCATCACCTCACTGAGGTTTATTGCCAGTGAACACTAAGTGCCCAACCTCACCTGCTGTGAGCCTGCTCTGCTTTCTTTGCTGGGCAAGCTGGACTACCTGACAAAGCAGATTTTAAAGAGGGCTGCCTAGCCAATTTTAAATTCTTAAAACCAAGTTAGAATTCGAAGTGGATTACCTCATCACAAGCCTATCACTCTGAAGTACCACATATAAATTATGCTAGCTACAGCATTTTGTAACTAACCCATTTTCAAATTACCAACTAGCATACCATGCGCAAACACGTAACTTTAGGTCAAATTGTTGATTTTATTAAATGTAATATAGAATAGTTTTCCCAGCTCCTCCTAAAATTCTCATTCCTCTTCTCACCCTCCTTGTTATTAACAGCCTTTCATTTCAGGCCTACATTTCACTTTATCACTTGCCCTCATCCCCTTTTGATCTTGTTCTTTTCCAATTGTGAATCATTCAGATCTCAAAGACACCTTAGAAAAGGTTACATCAGCTGAAGAAATGAACCCCCATTTAGCCTCTTCATTACTTTCTAATTTGTTTCTCAACATGCAGATCCTGGAAGACTGAGGGGGAACCCACAACTTCACAAAGAAGAGTCAGGGATGTGATTGAAACAATGAGTTTAAAGTGAGCAGTGCCTCCTCACTTTCGTCTTCTTTTAAAGTAACATAGATGTGTTATAAACCCTTCATAATCCCAAGAGAGGGGTGAGGAGATTCACTATGTAACTTGCACTTTTACCCTTAGGCATGTTAACTTATTTTCATCTGGCTTGGCAAGGGGTCATTTTAAGACTTCTTAAGTCTAGCTCAGCAGTTTGGAGGCAAGAAATAACGAGCAAAGGCAATTGCTTATCTGCACTGGAAAGAAGGTTTCTGCATGGCACACAATACAGAGCTACCTCCCGATTAAAAATATTTCAGTTGAATTTTCCTCAAACAGTTTTTAACAATTTCCAGCTACACATGGAGACATGCAATGCACAGGGCAGTTTTAGGTGGGGATGTTACTCCTGTCAAATATAGCCAAAACGAGCAAGAAAGAAAACCTTCAGAAACACAAGTTATGCAAGGGTTCTTTATTACAACATGAATAATTTCATAGAGTAAAGGTGTGGAGCCATGACTAAATGAGCGCTTTAAATTACCAGAAAAGAAATAAGAGGCATAACAAAGACCAGTGGTTAGATTTTAAAGCCAGAGAAATCCACATTAAGAACTGGGCACCAAATTTTGATGACAACACAGTTAATCATGAAAGGAAGTTATCATGGAAAACAGAGGATTTGCTATTTCTTGATGTCTTCCAATGAAGACACCATGCCTTCCCAAAATATGTGCTAGTCCAAGCAGTTACTGGAATTAACAGAACAACCAGATGATATTGCCTGGCCTTTAGGCATGACCCTATCACTCTTTCTCACTTTATAAATCTATGAATAAAGATAACACAGAGTAAATTCTATTATAGGACAGCCCCCAGCAACCCAGAAAACCTCAGGATTTACAAATTATGACGACCTGAAATAATCACCATGACTTTACCTTAAGATCAATCTTGTTAGTATTGTTTTGGCACGTGCAAGCTGTAACAATTAGATGATGGCAGCGCTTGTGTACAACACAGGTGCATACTAGGAAATAAAAGAGGCATGATGAAAACAGCTGTTGAAAGACTCAGAACACATCAACCCATCAGCTGCATTCTTTAAGGCTCAGCTGTGTCATCAGGACACAGTAAAGACGTGAAAAATAATCAGTGGCATGGAACTTCCAAAAAGTCATAACAGATCTGGAGATGCATCTCCAACCCATTGCAACAGAAATACTGCACTTGATCATTCATACAGCCTAGAAAACAGCTACCTATATAAAATACGGGTGATGCCCACAGAAATAATAGTGTGACTTCACAAATGAACATAAAAAAATGAGTATTTCTCACAACATACACAAACAATGCACAGGTCTGAGATAACAAAAGCCACTCCTACATCTCAGTGGTATAGTGTCTCTTACACTGAATACCCGACTGAGTCCTGCCCAGGTTACTTTGTCATTAAGGCTCAGTGCCTTGAATCCGGGGAGCTGGATAACTGCAGCAGAATGATGCTGTGTCTGGGCTAATTAGCTAGTCTGCATCAAGAAGGCTAATCAGCCCTAAAGCAGAGTTGGGTTCTCTCCAGGTCTGAAGCTGGCTTGGCTGGAATGAACTAGGACTCCTCCACTCCACAACCCAGCGCGTGCTGTAGACACCACCAAGGGCCGCAGCTACTGTCTACGTAAGGAGACTTTTGTAATGGAAACTGTACATTGCAGATGTGTTGCAGGGTCCCACACGATTCTGTTTGTTGCTGACTCAAGCTTGCACTCATAAGTGTCTGTCAATAATATTCACTTTCACCCAGAATTTTTATGCAGGATATCTATTTTGTTTACATGTAGCTTCCTTTCATATGAGGACACCAGTGCCCTATTATAGGGCACAAGGAACAGCCTGCGTTAGAAGGCCGTACTGAGTTACCATTCACCTGTGAGGCAAGTAAATAAATAAATAATCTTAGCATAGAAAAAGGGAAAGGAAGAACAATAATTAAGTGCAAACAAGCATCACACACATCTATAATACAGCCGTTCAGCCAAAATATGTATTCAGACAAAAGTGATGTGCCAGCTCACAAAGCTGCCCTTTGAAGTCAGATCCCTAGTTTCACCTTGTTGAACTACATAGGGGGAGAAAAGGAAGAGGGTGGCCATTCCAGGAGCATACTTTGTGACCAAGTACCAGCTGAACACTGTCCTGAAGGGACCCTGGCTCTCTCAAGCCTAGCTAAGTGTTACATGTACTCAGCAACTCAGTGGATCTACACAGGAGGAAAACTCGGTGGAACACAGCAACTGGCCTCCCAGGTGTTTGCAGGAACATAGGTGGTTGCTCTTGTGTGCACGTGAGCCGTCAGCCTGATGGCTGCTCAAACGCACAGTTTTGGGCTGGCTGGGGAGGCAGAGGAGTGGTGGCTTCAGAGAAGCTTATAACCGCAGGATGTCCCAGCAGCACAGGAGACCGCTCCTGAGACAGCACATCCTACGCACACATTGTGCGGGAGCAGAGCGCCTTACCTTGGCACTGGTACCCCTGCTTCCCAAACACGCCCCTGTTCAAAACAAAATATGAACATAAATTAACATCAGAAAGCCAGTCCTCTTGCAGATCGTTTACTGAAGAGAGAGCCAAAATGCAAGAGGATCCAGAATGACCCGATCTCTGGGGCAAAACTGCCCAGCAATGGTGGTGCAATTCAGCACAGGGGTGTGAGAGTGTAACAAAGTGCTACAAGGGCCGTAGCTTACAGGGCAGGCTGTCAACATGCATGTTATTCCCCATATTTCCCCTCACTCTACTTTCTGAAATACCTCACTTTATTACAACACACACCACACTTATTAGACAGATCCCAGCAGCCCACACCCTGTTATTATCTCTCCCACTCTATGCTCTTTTGAGACATATCTAAGTTTTTCCTCCCTGCGCTGCCTACTCCCCCACATCTATCAACCCACACCTCACACCTCTGATAGCTCTTCTGCTCTCAGGCATTTTCACTAGTCTTTCAAGCAGCTGTTTCTTCTCAATGTAATCTCAAAGCTCCACTCAAGTTAATACCTGGGGTCTTTCTTCAGATTGCCTGGGTTACTCTCCCCCCACCCCCGAAATAACATCTGTGCTTACAAGTGAGGAACGTTGCCTCATCCCCACACCACCCCAGTTTGTTTTCAGCATCGAAGATACACATCACCTCTGGTGTCTCTACAGCAGACTCCAGTTTGCAACTTAAGTGTACCCTGCTAAACCTGATGGCCAAGGGGAATCACATCAGTGGCCCTTGGTAAAGTGTTGGGTGACCGACTCAAGATCGGTAGTGGCATGTTGGTCCCCAAAACGCAAAGGGACAGGCATCTCCACACCACCATGTTCAAGCCATTCTTACCAGATGAACTCCTTGCAGTGCGAGCAGTACGTTGGCTGTCGCAGGTAGGTAGCCATGAATTTGTGCCCGTTCACCTGATGCACTCGCCTTCGCATTGCCCGCTGGCGTTTCCGAGTGAGGTTCTTAAAAATTCGATCTCTCTGGAGGGTCCCTGTGCAGGGGATAGGCAAAAAAAGAAAAAAGGCAACAAAATATTAACATTATCATGCTCCTGTTTTTGCTATGGCATAAAATGCTTTCAAAGGCCACAATTACATCCCTGGTTTAGAAGTCAGGGGACCACAGTCTAGAATGAGGACAGCATCTGGGACAGGCAAGGAAGTTAATTGCAAAGGCCCCTTTAGCTCAAAATTACATTCTTCATGTAGAAATAACTGCCTCTTTCCATCTTCCTCTCGCTCCTCTCCCATGTTCAGACATGTCACTAATCCATTAATTCACAAGCTGTAAACAGCCCAGAAGCTCAGGGTTAATGAGTTGTTATAACTCACAGCTTTTTGGGCAATAAGTCCTGAAAACATGACTACGTGCAACCAGCTGACCAGTGCTCCGCTTGCTGAGCCAAAGCAGTGCCTTGCTCAGCGAATAGGGTTTATCCACTTCCGGTATTCTCATCCTACACTTCTGTATCACTATTTGTAGCAATTTTGTTTCCTGTGTTGGATAAAAAGGCACAGCCTAATTTTTCAAGGACTGCAAGTGGTTTGATATGTACATCTCTCAGCTTTCTTTGAAGGTCTCATTTTCCAAAAGGTAGATCACAGAATCACAGAATGGTCAGGGTTGGAAGGGACCTCTGGAGATCATCTAGTCCAACCCCCCTGCCAGAGCAGGGTCACCTACAACAGGTTGCACAGGACAGCGTCCAGGCGGGTTTTGAATGTCTCCAGAATGGGAGACTCCACCACCTCTCTGGGCAGCCTGTTCCAGTGCTCCACTACCCTCAAGGTAAAGAAGTTCCTCCTCATGTTAAGATGGCACTTCCTATGTTCAAGCTTGTGCCCATTACCCCTCGTCCTATCACTGGGCACCACTGAAAAAAGACTGCTCCCATCCCCCTGGCACTCTCCCTTTAAGTATTCGTAAGTATTAATAAGATCCCCCCTCAATCTTCTTTTCTGTAGACTAAAGAGACCCAAGTTCCTAAGCCTTTCCTCATATGAGAGATGTGCCAATCCCCAATCATCTTTGTAGCCCTTTGCTGGACCCTCTCCAGCAGATCCCTGTCTTTCTTGAACTGGGGAGCCCAGAACTGGACACAGTACTCCAGATGCGGCCTCACCAGGGCAGAGTAGAGGGGGAGGATGACCTCCCTCGACCTGCTGGCCACACTTTTCCTGATGCACCCCAGGATGCTATTTGCCTTCTTGGCCGCCAGGGCACATTGCTGACTCATGGTCATCCTGTTGTCTACCAGGACTCCCAGGTCCCTTTCCACAGAGCTGCTCTCCAGGAGGTCATCCCCCAACCTGTACTGATGCATGGGGTTATTCCTCCCCAAATGCAGTACCCTACACTTACCCTTGTTGAATTTCATAAGGTTTCTCTCTGCCCAACTCTCCAGCCTGTCCAGGTCTCGCTGTAAAGCAGCACAGCCTAGATAATATTTTAAAGTTCTGGGAAGCAGGGACCCAGGAACTGCTGGCATTCAAATTTAAATTTTCTCAAAATTTAAATTTTTATTTTTTTTTTTTTTACTGGTTTAGTTCAGCCATATAGCAATTTCCTAGCAAAGTTCAATTTACACAAAACAAGTCACTCTTAAAAGGCAGAACCGAACTCTAGATCAAGAAAGCCATTCCCATACAGCAGCAGCCATCTGAATTTGCAAATCACAGCCAGCTGGTCTCTGGGATCCTTGCACAGACCAGGTCAGACTCAGCTGATCTTCCCAGATCAAAGCCTCATCTGGGGCACACTCGCTTCAGAAGAAAGAAATTAAATTTGCAGTTTTCAGGTTAGTTGCTTTGCAAAGGAAAGGCCCTACTAACAAGTGCATTTCAGGGACATACACTGGAGTCTGCTAGAGCAGAGTGTGCACCAGCACACCTACTCAGGACCCTTGTTTTGGGTGCGGACTGGATGCAAGACAAACGCCAGCTATTACCAAGCCTGCACGGATGTCATGACACAGGAAGGGACAGGTCTGTAAACTTCCCACCCATCTCATCATTCTGGAGTGATGGATTGGCAGCAGTACCCAAACACAGCTGTTACCGCACCACTTCATTTACCCATAAAAAGGGGGCAAACCATTTCCCTGCTTTCAACGAGCTTTGTTGATTAACCACTGGGGGGGGGAAGGGAAAAAGCTGTCACCATGATCAAGGCTTGAAATGTATGAGTCCCACATCACAAGCTAATTTCCCAGTCCTCTTTGTAGAAGCTGAGATAAGGGAAGCCATCCTGTCAGTACTTAACCCAGCCACTTCAAAGGGCTGTGGGCCACACAATGTATTCCTCTTGGTACTCTTGCCACACAGGTTTAGCCATAAAGCTCAAGGGTTTTTTTTCTGCCATGTTCTCCCAGCCATTTGTGCATGCATCCCTTCCACAGGCAGTAATGGAAACCTCCTATCCGATGGCTTAACTGCAACATGTAGCATGGCTTGACTTAAAGACAGCTTGGATTTATTTTTAAAACGGAAGTGTGCGCTAAAAGTTAGGATTTTCCCATTAAAACAGATACACAAAAAAAAAAAGGATATGATAGGGCTCATCCACACACTTAACAGAAACCTGCTTTCTTCACTGTAGAGCTTCAAGCAGCTGAGCCGAGAGACTAGCGCAGAAAAGCCTGCCTTTCTAGAGAAGCACTTTAACATGTGTTTAATTGCCAGACTGAATCAGAACACTGGTCCATCTAGTTCAGCATCCTGCCTCCGTCAGCGGGCAACCAGAAACACATGACAGCAAGATGGAGGAACCCTGCAGCTGGGAGATAATTTGCGTCTTTCCCACACATGAGATGTCATTTTGATCTCCAGAAGTGAGAGCTGATGTGCGGAGGTTTAATATCCCTTCCAAACGTTCAATCATCATTGCAAAATTTCAATAGCCTCGTTATCCACCATAGGAAACATGGCGGAGAAAAACTTCAAGAGGTCAAGCAGTTCATCCCTCTTTCCCAAAATAAAGATCAAGAGCCAGTTGCTTCACTGAGCCCAAGCCTCCTGCAACTTCACGTGAGAATCAAAAAAAAATAATAATTCCTTACAGCATTATAGAACTTGCCCACCTTTTAATTCAAGAGAACATCTCCTTGATCTAGTTTTAAGCATATGCTTTTCCTAAATCAGGGCCAAACACCTCAACTGGCAAAGTATCCTGTCTTGGCATTCAGCATGTACAGGAGAACTTGAAAGGCATGGAATGGGAAGGGCAGGGTTCTTGTGAGTGGGTGGTGAGCACATAAGTAAATCACCTAAAGAAACAATCCAGTTACCAGCTTGCTTCACACCAGCTGCTCCATTAGCAGCCCAGCAGCTGATGCCCTTTAAGTTCATGCACTCACATTTACCAAACTTTAAGAGAATATGTTCCCAATTTAGCTCATGTAGTTTCTGGTTTCGTTACGGTTCCCCTCAAGGACCAACATGGGGTAATTGCCCCCTGGTGCTCTCCCACACAGTGAGCAGCCCACACACAGCCAACAGCAAACCAGTCCTTTGCACCAGGAATAGGGGACACCTCAGGGTGGCCCACAAAGCCACTGAGTGGGATGCTCCCGCGTGTCCCTGTGGTTTGCCTGGCCTCAGGGAGACTGCAGTTTTGAAACTGTTCAGAAAGACTAAAAAAAGTGACAGGCACTTGCTTTTTCATGGGAGGTAGAGGAAGTGTCCATGCTGTCTGCACTGATGGATCACATCCACGGCCAGCCTTGAGCCTTCTCCTCTGAGCTACACTTAGCCTCCATCTCCTGTCCTCCAGCCACTGACATCTCATGCAGCATAATGACTTCCATCATACAGACCCACTTATTAAAACATATGCCACAAGGTTTTTGTCTTTTTTTTTTTTTCTAAAGGCATAATTTGTACTTAAAACATTCCTCAGTTTTCACATTTTCCCACACTACTTGGCTGCATTACCCTGCTAACTTTCTGCAGATGCTGCACATCCTCCAGGTGATCCTTACCCATGCTTACATTCACCTCACATTACATTATAACAAATCTAAGCGTGACTAAGCAGGATACTGATTTCAGGAAGACCCCGATTATTTTTCATACACAATCAGCTACTTTGGGCACTGCTCTTCCCATTTCCTGATGCTGTTTCGAGTGAAAAAGAGAGGGAGAGCGCAGCACAACTTCAGCCACACCTCAGGCCCAGGCGTAGCTGCAGGAGACCATCCACCATGTGACCTAGTGGATTAACATATACAACCATATCCCACAGAATAAATCCCTCTTCTGGAGGACTTGGGCACTCATCCATCCCATGCACCACACCACAGAGTATGCAAGTTCAACACTCCAACAAAGTGCAAGTGATCTTGAAATGGTAGCACGTATCGCTACCAAAACCACCTTCCTCCTGGCAACCAGCCTCTCTAGCCACCAAGATGGCAGTTCCTCAGCTTACACCCATCACATCTGTCAAGCAGCTCCCGATGCCACCAGGTGAGAGGTGGCCTGCAGAAACCATCAACGCAGCACTGAAGTCTGCAAGTGGACAGAGCGGCCAATGCAGCAGCACCTCATGCCTCTCACTTTTAGTGATTACATCATGGGATGTAAAGTCATCACAGACATTTTCCCCACTCATGTTCGATCGTTCTGGCCAGTTTCCTACAGAATATATATTTTCCTTCTGCATGCAGAAAGCATTTTACAAAACAAAGCAGATCTAGACTACTTTAGGAGACCCAGACTTTTAAAAGCCTCTCATCTCCGGTAAAGCAAAAACCACCGTGAAGGGTTCAAATGTCCAAATACTGCCATAAAAACAGGCAAGTAATTGGTCAGTGAAGGGAGTTGTCCACATCCGTGGTTAAATTTGGATGTCTGTAACTATGGGGTATTTACTGTGCCTGGCTATGTGCAAAAGTAACTACAAAGTTAAATACTAAAAAACTTCTTCCCCTTTCCTCTTCTCCACTCATGCCTAACACGTGTTTATGGCAGTGGAAATTATGCACGTGGAGAC